GTATATATTCACAATTTTTTTTTATGTCAAACCAAAGTATTAGACTAGTTTGCATACATAACAAACAGGGGTCTGGGAAGGGGAAGGGGCAAGGGGAAGGAGTTATCTCTTTATGTCTTAATTGTTGAAAACTCCTAAAATGAATGTTAACCTCAAATCCGACTTGTACGTCTTCATTATTTTTAAGTGGTGGTGTCTCCGTATGAGTGAAAAATTCCCAAGAGGGACATTTAACAACAAACAAACATTAATGACTTAAAAAACACAATATACATGTACATGTTTATAAGTCAACGGATATACTTCTGATCATATCTCTAGTTCTCCCTTGAATCAGAAATGATGATATAAATATTATTTTAAGAATGATTAAGAGTTGAAAAGCTTGTGCATTTTAAAATTCACTAAGCTCTGTGGTTGAATTAGCTATACCAGTTTAGCTTGTTTTGCTACTCAAAGCACCTTGATTAACTAGTTTTAATCATACTGTTTTCTGAAATGTGAAGTTTTTTCAACATGGATACAAGTCATACCTTTTCAGCTTCTGAAAACAATGCATGAAAAAAAAACTGCTTTTCAAATACTGTAACTCTTTCCAAGTACTTGTGATCATCAGGTTTTAGCTCACTTGAGTTTTTCTGGTTTTCTGATCACATTTTGTTTGTCATCCATCTGTACGCCTGTAAACTTTTCACATTTTTGTCTTCTTCACTAGAACCGCTGGGCCAATTTCAACCAACCCTGCCACAAAGCATCTTCGGGTAAAGGGAATTCAAGTTTGTTCAAGTGAAGGGTCACACCCTCTTTCAAGGGGGGATAATCAAGAATTAGTGAAAATTTGGTGGTATCATTTTAAAAAAGTCTTATCAAGAACCACTGACTGGGCCCAAAAATTTGAAACTTTCTTTAAACAGACTTAGTGTAGCTTCAAATTTGTTAAAACTATGACCCACTGGGGTAGGGTGGGGCCACATATGGGGATCCAATGATTTACATAGAAAAATGCAGGGGATTTTTTCCATCATAAATCTTCTTCTCATGAACAGCAAGGGCATTATTGTCGTCCGTTTTCACAAAAGGGACCTAGGGGACATTAAATCTCATTTGTCTGTCAGTCTGTACGTTTGTCAGTCTGTCCATCTGTCACAATAAATTTAACCTTGGTCAAAACTTCTGAATAATAAGAAATAGGGCTTTCATATTTCACATGTACATTACCTACAAGAACTTTCTAAACATACCATGATTTTTGAACCCATGACCTTGACCTTGAAGTTTGACCTACTTTTCAAAAAATTTAACATTATTTTAAATGATCATTTTGAAAGAGAAAAGATAGGGCATTCATATTATACATGTATATTACCTGTGACAAGACCTTTCTAAATATATCATGACTTGACTCTGTGACATTGACCTTGAAGTTTAACCTACTTTTCAAAAATGTTATATTTCCTTATAACTTTTGATTGAGAAGAGATAGGACTTTTATATTTGACATGTACATTATCTGTAACAAGATGTTTCCAAGCATGCTATGATTTTTTTACCCCTTGACCTTGATGTTTTACCTAATTTTCAAAAAATTTAACTTTGATGATTACTTTTGAATGACATATGATAAGGCCTGCATATTTGAAACAATATGTCATAAATAATGGCATCCCATCCACTAGGACACGGAAAGCAGGGGACCACAATTCTTTGAATTTGCTTGTTAGTCATTTTGATATGGAAACATCCTCATATAGTGTAGATTCAAGTTTTTTATGCCCTGCCATGAATATGGCCGAGGCATATAGTTTTGTCATGTCCGACTTCAATAAAACGTCATATGCTAATACATACTGATGTAAGCTTTTCAACTGCATCAAAATTTTTGATCTTGACTTTTCCTTTGACCTTGACCTTACTTTTCTTAAATTAGTGTCTAGATCAGTTTTGAATAAACAATTCAAGAGATATTTATCAAACTTCATATGCTGATATATACTGCTGAGAGATATCAATTGCAACAACTTTTTTGACCTTGACTTTTCCTTTGACCTTGACCTCACTTTTTTAAATTAGTGTTTATCTACGTTTTAAATAAACCATTTCTGATATTTTTATTGAACTTCTATGCTAATAGTAAATACATACTGATATAAGCTTCTCAACTGCATCAGCATTTTGACCTCAACCTTTCCTTTGACCTTGACCTCTCTTTTCTCAAATAAGTGTTAAACTCAATTTTAAATAAATCATTCAAGATATTTTTATCAAACCTAATATGCTGATATGTATTAGTGAGAGCTATTCAACTGCATCAAAAACCTTTCACCTTGCACTTTCCTGTGACCTTGACCTCCCTTCTCTTTAATTTGTATTTTGCTTAGTTTTAAAGAAACAATCTAAGATATTTTTATGTAAGCATGCACTTATACATAATTTTGTGAGAATTTATCATCTATATCCATTTTTTTAGATTTTAGTTTCAATTTTAAAGAAACTGTTCAAGATATTCTCATCAAACTTCATACACTCATACAAATTTTCATGTTGCATTAGTAATATACATTCGGCGGGGCATTTATGTCCTATGGACATATTTCTAGTTTTCAAATCATGACCTCTGAGGATACGGTCAGGCCACAATAAGGGATCAAAGTTTTATAGAGATTTAAAAGGAAAAAAATCTTCAAAATTCTTCTTTTTAAGAACAACAAAAGCATGATTAATATGGAAACATTCCCAAGAAGTGTAGATTCAAGTTTGTACAAATGACCCCATGGGTTAGGGAGGGGCCATTTTTTTCCTGCCCCTATTTCCTATCCACATGGAAATGCAAATTTTAAAACCATTTTACACATCCACAGGACAAAATCAATCATCCTCCAAATGATCATGATTTAAGGCTAGTGCATAAAATATAAGGGAAGTTCTGGGAACCAGGATGTTTAAACATGTTAAATATTTTTTAAAAAAAATTTGACCCCCATTTGACCCCCAGGGGGAAAATAAGAATTCCGAAACCTTACTGCACATCTATAGGACACCACCAACCATCTCCCAAAAGATGATTAGGCTACTGTGTAAAATGTAAGAGGAGTTCAGGGAACCAGGGGCTTTTTGCATAAAAAACGTCATTTTTCGACCCCCATTTGACCCCTAGGGTGAAAATGAAAATTCCGAAACTTTACTGCACATCTACATGACACCACCAAACATCTCCCAAAAGATGATTAGGCTACTGTGTAAAATGTAAGAGGAGTTTGAGAAATAAGAGTGTGACAGACAGACGGACGGACAGACATGAGTATCAACAATATACCCGAACTTTCTTTAGAAAGTGCGGGTATAATAATGCATTTTCACTATACATGTATATTCAACAGAACACTGCCCTAACACCAGAACCCCTGAACCTGGGGCCATGAAATTCACAATTTTGGAAGAGGCACCTTTCATCATCATAACTATGTATTTATTTTGTTTTCATAATATCCAAGAGCACAGAAGAAGCTTTTTAAGAGAGAATGTCACGAATCATCAAGCTTCAGATGGAAACTTTAAATTTTAACCTCCTGTTTTCTTTTATTGGTTGTAAAAAGTGTTCATAGTACAACTCTTTCACATACATGAAAATGATGTTTGACCAACGAAACTATTATTTTTTTCCCTTATTATGTGTTGCCATGGAAACCAACATAAGTTAAGAAAAAAACACTTCAATTTTAACTTTTTTTAAAGAATATTTTTACAAAAAGAATAGTAATACGGATATCACCTACAAGAGACTTTACGCTAATTATCAAAGATGCATAGTATACAAAAAAATTTAAAACCAAATCCAAATACCTAGGCATCAGTTGCCATGGCAACACAAATATTGTACAGTTTTACAGTTTGAAAAACTGAAAATTACCTCTCAAGTTTAAACTTATATATGTAAAATCTACAACAACATTAAAATGAATTTTATTCTTACACAATACAGGTTGATTTTCAAGAATGACATATAAAATTGAGAAGCATTTTTATTGTTTTTGTGGAAAAAACGGTTAAATTTTATGTTTTTACTCTTAAGAAACGTTAAAAATACACAGCAAATTTTAGGGAGAACTTTCAGTTTCTTCCAAATTGATAATTGTTAATGTATATTTGCTATTATACTCTTGCATTATCGATAGATATAGTGATATTATGAGATAAAAATCCTGTAATGTGCCCATAGCAACCAATTTTATTGCATAGCTACCAAGGCATTTTCAAGAGATTGTGTCAAAAAATAAAGGAGAACATGTATTTACATATAAAAAAATTAAATTAACAAGCTTTATTTCACCTAGGAATAATAAAACATACTTAAATTTCAGCATCAATCATATTCTGTGCATAGCAACCAAATGATGTCCATAGCAACAGTTAATTTTTAAGTTTTTACACCAATAAAGGTTAAAAACACATCAATTTTTAAGGGAAAAAACCTTCAATTTCTTCCACATTGATGGTTAAGGGTCCATTACATAATTTCATGTATATTTGCTAATATACTCTTGCAACATCAATAAATAAAGTGATATAATGTTGAAATAATTATGTAATGTTCCCTTAGTAACCAATTTTGCTGCATAGTAACCAATATATTTTCAAAACACTGACAAAAAAAAATGAAGGAGAATATGTATTTATATACAGAAAACAAGATTTTTAAGCTTCATCACTTATGAATTATAAAAACATATTCAATCTTCTGCATCAGTTATGTAATCTGTGTATAGCAACCAAATGAGGTCAACAGCAACAGAGCTGAACAGACATTTTGTAATCCTTAAATTATCAAAAAATGTTGGTAACACTCCAACAAACTATTTATGAAAATTCAAACAAAACATGATCAATTTATGTATGAGAATTGTTTTTGATTTTGTTTGTTTGTTTTTCTTTTTTTCTTTTTTTTCTTTTTTTGTTTTTTTTGTTTTTTGTTTAGGTTTAACCTTTACATAATTTGTCTTAAATTCAATATTTCTCTTCTTTTAATTGAGTAGTCATTCCTCATCCAATGAAATCTTCAATCCATTTAATTTTCATCTGTTTCTTGATAGGGCAATGCCCATGTCACAGCATTCAAAGAAATCATCTCAAACGGTACTTTTCGGAACATAATCAGAGAGACCCATAATGCTGATGGCTTGTGTCATCTCACTTGTCTCAGTCATGTGTGTGTCTTGACTCCATGAAAATCACAGTCTCTCATTAGAATCTGACTTCTGTGTAAAAACTTCAAAAATTAAAAATAATATTAAACAAGAAGCCCATGGTACACCTGCCCTAACCCCGGGGGTCATGACTTTAACAATTTAAAATCTACACTACCCCAGGATGCTTCCACTTAAGTTCCAGCTTTTCCAGCCCAGTGGTTCTTAAGAAGAAGATTTTTAAAGGTATTTTTCTACATATTTCAATGTAAAACTTGGATTCCCTATTGTGGCCCCACCCTAACCTCAGGGTCATGATTTGAACAATTTAGAATCTACACTATCCCAGGATGCTTCCACGTAGGTTGCAGCTTTTCTGGCCCATTGGTTCTTGAGAAGAAGATTTTTTAATGACCCCACCCTATTTTTGTCTTTTCTTGATTATCTCCCCTTGGGAGGCGGCTTAGTCCTTCATTTTAACAATTTAAACTTCCCTTCACTTAAGAATGCTTTGTACCAAGTTTGATTAAAATTGGCCCAGTGGTTCTTGAGAAGAAGTTGAAAGTGTGAAAAGTATACAGATGGACGGACAGACGGATGGACGACGGACAATGGGTGATCAGAAAAGCTCACTTGAGCTTTCAGCTCAGGTGAGCTAAACAAAGTTGCCCAAAACTACATTTCCTTAAATGGAGAAAAATTTACAATCTCAAAGGATGGTTTTTTTCTTTTAATCTGAGTAAAATTAAAATATTACTTTGGATTCAAATTTATGAATTAAAAGAAAAAAATTAATAAGAAAGAGGTCACACTGCGCACCTGAGCCACCTATGCAATGCTTTTATCTTTTAGAAGCTTTTGAAAAAGCATTTTAATCTATATTCCCATGAAAAATGTTCTTACCAGGGCTGTACCCAAGCATGAAGAGCCCATGACTTATGCATACTTGAATCCACTCACAACAAATGCATATGCTGGATAGCAATATGACTTATGTAGCCGTAAAATTTGCTTCCATATTTTAGCCCCACTAAACCCAGCTTGTATCTACAAGACTTGCGAATTTCGATTTTCTTATGAAATACATTGCACACCATTTATAATTTTGCTTGTTATTGGCACACTAAGATACAATGAGTTCATTTAAGAAATGAATTCAACTTTTAAGAATTCATAAAGACATGAATTAGGACGCTTCACACAATTTATTTTAAGACACGTGATTTGAATAAATTTAAATCTACATACCTGAGGATTCTTCCATATCAATATGACTGATCAAGGTCTTGCTGTTTTAGAGAAGAAGATTTTTAAAGATTTTCTTTTTCCTATCCCTATGTAAGACTTTGATTGCCCTTTTTGGCCCCATCCTACCCCAAAAAGGTCAAGATTTGAACAGAACTGGATCTACACTATGTAATTAAAGTTTCACATGAGTTTCAACTTATCTGGCCAAGTGGTTCTGGGTTTTTTTTAAAGATGCCACTAAATTTTCACTAGGTTTTCTCCCTCTTGAAAGATTGTGTGGCCTTTCTATGAATAAACTTGGATTTCCTTTACCCAGGGATGCTATGTAACACTTTTGGTTGAAATTGGCCTAGTTTTTCTGGAGAGGTAGTCAAAAAGTTTAAAATTGGACAAACAGACGAACACTGAACAAATGTGACCACTTGAGCTTACAGCTCAGGTGAGCTAAAAGGTGCAAATGAAAAAAACCCAATAATTATTATAAATGACAATATACTTACATTATCTTACGATCCATCTGTGCCTAATATAACTGATTCTGGTTTCAATAGATAATTTCTTCATTCTCTCTATGAAAGTATAAAAAAAATATAATTATAGGTTTGACCTTGAAAACATGCCTGTTATTATACTGACTTTTCCGTGAATGTTAAAATGTTATGACACACATCCTTTAACTTGAAAATTGAGAAATATTCAATGGAGGAAATAACATGTTTTTTTTCAATAGACAGAGGGAATTAAAATTCAGTGATCACTACTGGAAGGTTTTACATGCATGGGCATGTACATTATGATGCAGTATTGTACTGTGGAAACATTAATTTTATGGAGTTATATAAATTTTAACAATGCCACATATCTTCAACCATAAAATTAAATATTTGTTCTCAAACCTTGAAAATTTGACCCCTCAAAATTAAACAAGAGGCCCATGGGCCTTGAATCGCTCTTCTGATAAACTGTACAACCCTATCACTTCTATTTGAAGCTTCGAAGTATCCTGTATATTTACATAAACCCTTGAAATTCCAATTCACACTCTGAGAACCCAAGATGATTCTATGCCGATTAGTACCTGAGAGTTGGTCATGGTGACCTACTTATCACTTGTCATTCTCTGAGGACCCATCAACTAAGTTTGATGATTCTAAGCCAATTAATACCTAAAATGTTTTTTAAAATTATAATCATAAAATTTTATAAGTAGGTCAAAGTGACCTACTTTTCAATTGTTTTACTCCAAGGACCCAAGATGAATCAACTGACAAAGTTTGATGATTCTAAGCCAAGTACCTGTAATATTTAATTAAAGCCATAAATTTTCAAAAGTAGGTCACCGTGACCTACTTTTCAGTCAACCTACTCTGAGGACAAAAGATGCATCAACTGACAAATTTTGACGATTCTAAGCCAAATAATTTCTGAAAATATTAAATACAGCCATAAAATTTCAAAAGTAGGTCACCGTGACCTCCTTTTCAGTTGCTGTACTCCGAGGACCCAAGACGCATCAACTGACAAAGTTTAATGATTCTAAGCCAATTAGTACCCGAAATATTTGATTAAAGCCATAAATTTTCAAAAGTAGGTCACCGTGACCTACTTTTCAGTTGTTGTACTCCGAGGACCCATGACGCATAAACTGACAAAGTTTTATGATTCTAAGCCAATTAGTACCTGAAATATTTTATTAAAGCCATATATTTTCCGAAAGTAGGTCACGGTGACCTACTTTTTTAGTCGACCTACTCCGAAGACCCATGACGCATCAACTGACAAAGTTTGATGATTCTAGCCAATAAGTACCCAAAATATTAAATTACAGCCATAAATTTTCAAAAGTAGGTCACAGTGACCTACTTTTCAGTCAACCTACTCCGAGGACAAAAGATGCATCAACTGACAAATTTTGATGATTCTAAGCCAAATAATTTCTGAAAATATTAAATACAGCTATAAAATTTCAAAAGTAAGTCACCGTGACCTACTTTTCAGTTGTTGTACTCCGAGGACCCAAGACGGATCAACTGACAAAGTTTAATGATTCTAAGCCAATAAGTACCCGAAATATTTGATTAAAGCCATAAATTTTCAAAAGTAGGTCACCGTGACCTACTTTTCAGTTGTACTCCGAGGACCCAAGACGCATCAACTGACTAAGTTTTATGATTCTAAGCCAATTAGTCCCGAAATATTTTATTAAAGCCATAAATTTTCCGAAAGTAGGTCACGGTGACCTACTTTTTAGTCGACCTACTCCGAAGACCCATGACGCATCAACTGACAAAGTTTGATGATTCTAAGCCAATTAGTACCCGAAATATTTAATTAAAGCCATAAATTTTCAAAAGTAGGTCACGGTGACCTACTTTTTAGTCGACCTACTCCGAAGACCCAAGATGCTTCAACTGACAAAGTTTGATGATTCTAAGCCAATTAGTACCTGAAATATTTAATTATAGTCATATAAATTGAAAAGTAGGTCACGGTGACCTACTTTTCAGTTGACCTTTTTTGAGGACCCAAGATGCATCAACTTACAAAGTTTTATGATCATAGGACTTAAAATGTCCAAATTATGCCTCTAAAACGCTTTGAAATCGAATGCCTGCAAAGTTCAAAAAGTAGGTCACTGTGACCTACTTTTTAATAAATATGTTTTATGGCCGCAAGATGCATCATCTTACAAGATTTAATGATTCTAAGCCTCCCCATATTCGAATTAATGACCTTAATTGTTTTAAAAAAGATCAGCCATAAAATTCAAAAAGTAGGTCAAGGTGACCTACTTTTTAGTTGACGTACTTTGAGGACCCAAGATGCATCAACTGACAAAGTTTGATGATCATAGGCCCTAAATTGTTCAAAATATGCCTCTAAATCATTTTGAAAAAGAATGGCCGCAAAATTTAAAAAGTAGGTCATCGTGACCTACTTTTGAGTCAACATGATATGAGGTCCTTAGATGCACCAACTGACAAGATTTGATGATCCTAGTCCTTATAGTAAGCAAAATATCAACATTTTAATAAAATGTAATTTTTGGTCAACTTTGAAGTGACCTTGAGACCACGCCCTTTGCCCCAGGGTAAATCCCCGTGCAAATTTTAATCTACAACATATCCTCATCCTTTTGTGTAAGTTTGGTGATAATCTGCCCAGTGGTTCTTGAGAAGAAGATTTTTTAGCAACAGTACTTTTTTTCTATTTTCCTAATTATCTCCCCTTGTTAAAGGGTCACAACCCCAGTTTTAGTATAAAAGGGAACCCTTGGGCCAAGGATACCCTGTGACAAATTTGACGATAATTGGCCAAGGGGTTCTTGAGTTATGGCCCATATTCTAAAAAGTTTACGCACACCGCACAAATGGCCATAGCATTAGCTCTTTGAGTCTTTGGCTCAGAAGAGCTAAAAATATATATTTTACAGTATTTCTTTTCTTCTGATCAGAGACATAAACTAAAACAACAAATAAATATTAAAATAATGATTTATATTTCCAGTCTTATTTAATAAGTCTTTCTATTTAAAAGTAAATGACTCTTAATACCAGTGAATAACTGCAAAAGGCTAAATTGTCTTTTTTCTAGATGCTAGCAGCATTTTCTAAACATTCTGTTGAATCTGTAGAGTGTAGAGTACATGTATCTGCATGTAGAGCTATCTTGTATAATTTACATGAAAATCTGTAGTGCTGCTAACAAGAGATTTTCTTGGCTTTTGTAGAGTAAAACAGGAATGAAATATAGAAATACATTTATAATACATTCACGCATTATCTTTTATCTGAAAACAAATCAGTTTGACACTGTCATCTTGCAAAATTAATTAATGAAATATTGTATTGCAATTTGCAATTTCCATGTGCAAATCTGATCTACAGACTTTCATAGTAAAAGTAACAGTAAAATGACCTTTGCCAAGGAAACAAGGACCCCTCGTATGTTGTTAAGCATAATAATATATCTGAAAGAATTGCCTTAAGAAAGTATCTTTTCATACCCCCCCCCCCCTCCCCCAAATCCTGAAATTGAAAAGGTTTTTCAGGTATTTTTATTTTTTTCTTGCATGTCAAAATTTTTATGTTTGGCATCTGTTAAAATTAACTTGAAAAACCCCACCTCCATTCCATCCACCACAAAAATCTTTGATCCGCAACCTGAATTTCAATGAGTTTTTTTTTTAATGTATTTATACAAATTAATGTTTCGCTTTCAGAACATTTTAAATGTTAAATAAATTTACATAATGATTAAAAAATCTGTGATTATAACATGTACATAGCTATACTGGGCATTTCAATAACAAATAAATATAGAGAAAATACATACATGTACCAGTTCCATAGGTGTCGGTCTTGATTGTCACTGTATCAGCTTTGCATTATTTGTTATTAAAATATTTGCATCAAATTAATATTTTTGTTTCTGCATACTTCTACAAAAAGGAAAAATATTTGAAGATCGATGTAATGTGTGTGGCGATTTTTGGGATAATAAACAAAGGAAACCAATTCATTTGGATTTTACATGCATTTAGCTACCAGTTTAAGTTGTACACAGATGAATGGAGAAAATTCGGATAAGGAAGAAAGTGATCGCTTTTAGAAATAAATATATATATTTTTTAAATTGTATTACCTGATTTGTCATAAGGTTTTTGTTGTTGACAAGATTCCAAGCTTATGAATCTTTTTCCCTCTTGAAACAACATGAATTTTCCTTTAGTCAGTGCTCCAGAACATCCAAAGGTTGCCAACATTTTTTGTTTCTATCACAGAAGAGCTCCAAGGGAGGTAATTCATGACAATAAAAGATGGGAAAAGTACCCATCAGTATGATAAAAAACCCTTTCAATTTAAGCCCACTTAAGAATGCTTCTCAATTTTAATTTTGATATAAACAGTATTAATGTTCACCTTTTTGAGGATAGCATCAGATATTTATTTTCTTGTTGTAGATTTGAGAATTCAGTCACTGAAACAGGGTCAAAAATAGGCTAAGTGTATGTAGAAAAACTAATAGAAATTTAAAAGTGTTTGTTCACATGCAGACAAAATATAAAAATACTGTTTTTTTAAAAATAGTTTTAATCAGATTTATTAATATTTATTGATTTTTTATTTTTTGTACTATGAAAAAGTACTGCAAATTGACTGAATCTGAATTTTTCAAAGAGTGTATTTTACTTACTTTGATATATGGTTACCATGGAAACGAGTTGGCTAATCATTGTAAAATTTTACCACAAATGATAAGACTGTTAAAGAAGTTTATTAACGCAAAAATCCCGAAATTTTTAAATTTTATAGTTTCCATCAATTACACTGAGGAAGCTTGATGATCGTGACATTCTCTCTTAAAGAAATAATGCATTATCATTATATATTCAACAAAGCCCCACCCTAACACCAGAACCCCTGACCCTTGGGCCATGAAATTCACAATTTTGGAAGAGGCACTCTTTCTCATCATAACTATGTACTTACTTCATCGGCTTAATACCCAGGAGCAGAGGAGAAGATTTTTGAATAATTAATGCATTTTCACTATATAATCATTAGAT